GTAGAGGACCTCTCCTTTCATGGTCATAAGATTTTCTCGGAGATCACAAATGACTCCCTGAACGCTTTGAAGGACTCTGGGGGTACCCTACGTTATTTGGGCATTTATACACCTTTCAGTAAGAGATGTTTCAGTAGGTCACAGACTGCCCAGAGATCTTACCCAGCTCAGTTTGGAGTACCATCAACTCTCAAAATCCTAAGGAAAGATTTCAGAGGAAGAGGACCACCCAGGTGTCATCTAAACCACAGTTCTGTTAGGTTGGTTGAAGGTTCAAATCCTCTGTCCTCTGATTTCACAGTTGTGCCCCTTAGCCCACATCCCTCCCTTTGGGGACTGCCTTGTCCATTTTCACCAGGCTTGGGAATGGATCACCATGGAGCAATGGATCTTGGATGTCATAACTTTGGACTACGCCCTCCTTTTCCTGTCCCTCTTTAGGGATCCCTCTTATGAGCTTCTACTGAATGAAGAGGGTGACTCTCTCCTCTGGCCAGAAGCAATAGAACTGGTCCCTTCCCCTTACAGGAGTAGGGGGTTCTACTCAAAATACTTTCTAGTACTGAAAAGGGATGGATGTTGGAGGCCAATCTTAAATCTAAGACAGCTGAACAAGTTTGTGAAACCTCAAAAGTTCAGGATGGTGACTCTGGCAACTCTTAATTTCTTCACTAGAGGAAGGGGATTGGTTTTCGTCCCTCAACCTACAAGATGCCTATTTCTGTAGAACTATACACCCATTGCACAAGAAATACCGATGTTTCATGATAGGCCAAGACCATTTCCAGTATCAAGTGCTCCCCTTCAGCCTATCCTCTGCCCCAAACGTGTTTTTGAAGGTTCTAGCAGTAGTGGCAGCTCACCTTCAGCAGGAAACAATTCTCAGACCTCAGTGACTGGCTACTCAAGGGCTGCTCTTTTGAGGCAGTTTTCGACCCAGAAGGCCCTGGCTCTGTTCAATCATAGAATCATAGAATCATAGAATATCAGAGTTGGAAGGGACCTCAAGAGGTCATCTAGTCCAACCCCCTGCTCAAAGCAGGACCAATTCCCAGCTAAATCATCCCAGCCAGGGCTTTGTCAAGCCGGGCCTTAAAAACCTCCAAGGAAGGAGACTCCACCACCTCCCTAGGTAACGCATTCCAGTGTTTCACCACCCT